GTCTCAAAAAAAAAAAAAGAAAAGAAAATATATTTAATAAATGAAAATATAAGAATATATAAAGTTGGTTTGATAAACCAGTAGTTTAGATTTAACCTCATTTTAGTGTTATCGCCAACATAAATTTCTGCAAAAAAGTGTTCTTACCAACATAAATTTCTATACCCAATGTGTATTTACCCACATATAAGATAGTTGTGGGTTACTTTCATCTTCTAATTAAATTACTTGGATAAAACAATTTAAACATGTATAAAAGAATTTAATTCTAAAATCTTTTGACTAGTTTGTTAAATTATAATACAATGCTTGAAGGGTAATGAAATAAAGTGTTATATTTTACCATCTTTTTCTGCAATACCTCCTAATGCATATAACGCTGCTTCTTTTACCACACTATGTTCACTTGATTTTGCAAGATTTTTTATAAACGTCAAACCACCAATTTCCCGAAAATAAATACCTGCATTATCTGTAGGGTATGAAGACAAAACAGAAATGATACTTGGTTATTCTTTTTAGGAATAAAATAAATCACATGAAGAAAGTAACATGTAGAGTAGCTGAGAATGAACTATGAATATTTGTTATATCACAGTACTAGAGAACTAATAAAAATTCACTATCATATCTTACTATTTTGTTGACAAATTGAATGAATAGTGACCAGAGCTTCCTTTTGTGAAAAGGGGTTGTCCATTTGATACTTTAGACACTCCAATAACAAGTTCAGGTCAGTCTTCATTTCTAAAGAACAAAAATTCAATTATTTTAAACCAAAAGTTTTCTTTCAAAAGTTAACAATAAAATTTTACTTCCTGAATACATGTCCTTGGAATAGTTGACATTTTGAAATAACAAGCATGCATTACTTTTATAATCTAACAAATAAAAAATGCATAAAACTTTTTTTTTCCTCCAGAGTTGGGTTTGAACCTGCATGTGGAGCAGGTGCCTTACTCCTTTGAGCCACAGGCACCACCCATAAAACTTTTTTATTTATTTGTTTGAAATGGTGATTTCATCATGTTACCCAGGCTGGACTCAAACTCCTGGGATCCTCCTGCCTCAGGGGATCCTCCTGCCTCAGCCTCCAGAGTAGCTAACACTATAGACATGTGTCACTATGTCTGCCTAAAAGATGTACTTTAAATAAAAGAACTTAAAATGAACTTACGGTTCTTCAGCTTTCCCCTTGCATAAAATATAGAAATAGAAAATCTAAATGCTGGCTTGGCACCTATAGCTCAGTGGTGAGGACTGCAGTCACCTACACTGGAGCTAGTGGGTTCAAACCCAGCCCAGGCTTGCCAAAGAATGACAACTACAACACAAAAAGAGCCAGGCATGGCTCGGCGTCTGTGGCTCAAGTGGCTAAGGTGCCAGCCATATACACCTGAGCTGGTGGGTTCGAATCTAGCCTGGGTCTGCCAAACAACAATGACGGCTGCAAGAAAAAATAGCCAGGCATTGTGGCAGGCGCCTGTAGTACCAGCTACTTGGGAGGTGGAGGCAGGAGAATCACTTGAGCCCAGGAGTTGTAAGTTCCTGTGAGCTGTGTGTGATGCCACAGCACTCTACCCAGGGGGATAGCTTGAGGCTCTGTCTCAAAAAAAAAAAAAAAAAAAAAAGGCAAGAATGAAAAAAAGAAAATCTAAATATTTTTCTAAGGGAAGGTAAACTGGCGTAAACATCTGTCATTTAGAAATGAAATAAATGAAAATACAATATATCAGAATTTGTGGGATGCTACTAAGGTATTATTTAGGAGGAATTTATAGGAGATTGGTCCTCTTATCACCTTAGCTTTTACCTTAAGAAACTAGAAAATGAGGGGACATATTTTCAGTTGGTACTAAGTCTATGTTCCTAGGCTTAGGGGGGATAAAACTAGAAAAAAAAAACCAGATTAAATCCAATATAAGTAGAAGAAAGGAAATTATAAAGATAAAAGCTGAAATTGGTGAAACAGAAAACAGAAAAAAAAGAGGAGATTTTTTGTCAAGATCATTAAAACTGATAAACCTCTAACCAGACTGATTAGAAAGGGATAAAAAGACAGATACAAATTACCAATAACAGGAACTACAGAGATCACTTCAGATTCAAAAGATGAAATGGACAAATTACTTGAAAGGCACAAGTCACCAAAGCTTACCCAAGAAGAAACAGACAACCTGAAACATCTTATGTGTACACAAATATGAAAGAAGTTGAAATTATAGTTAAAAATCTTTCCACATAGAAAACTCTGGGTTCAGAAGGTTTCATTTTTTATAAAATTTTCTACCAAACATTTAAGGAAGAAATAATATCAATTATATACATGTTTTTCCAAAAGCTTAAAAAGAAGATACTTTCCACTTTATTCTATGAGGTTGGTATTACCTTTATACCAAAACCAAAGCCATTACAAAGAAAACTACAGACCAATATTCCTCATGAACATAAATGCAAAATATCTAAAAAGTTTTAGCAAATTGAGGAACATCAAAGAGTATATCTACACAAACCAATAATGTTAAAAAAAAAAATACACCATGACCAAATGGGTTCATCCCAGGAATGCAAGATTGATTTTAAAATTAAAAAAGAACCAATGTAATATAACAAGCTAAAATTAAAAAGGAAAACCGTTTGGCTACCTCAATAGATGTTATATTATAAAGAGCACTTCATAAAAATCCAGCATCCATATCTGATAAAAGAAAAACATTCTGCAAACTTAGAATAGGATGGAACTCCCTCCACCTGACAAAGTATCTATAAATGAAAATCCTACAACTTCATGGAAGAAGCCCAAGTACCCATCGATCCACGAATGGATCAACAAACTGTGGTATATGTACACCATGGAATACTATGCAGCC